TTCCAGCCTGTCGGCATTTATTAAATTTTTTAAATAGTTAAATTTTACTTTTTCGTGAGCTCATCGTTCTTCCCTCCCGTGAGCTTCTTGATGGATGCTCCCAGGCCTTCATCAAAGTTCTTCCTCACCATGTTCATGGTAAGGCCTGAGAAAACAATAACCAGCCGAACCATCATATCCACATCGCTATCTATCACCATTTGATACATTTCTTTTGTTGCTTTAGATGATGCTTTTCCGATTTTCGTACTCAGAAGGTCTTTCAGTTTTTCATTGTCAGCATATATCCCTGGAAATCATAATGCAAGATAAATGGCACTTAAGTTTCTTATTGTCTATTTTCTTTTTTTCCTCTGAAAACCAAACTTGAGTTTAATCCCAAGTGTTGGATAAATCTTGACAGCTAACTAGAAATTACCAAAGGCATAAATCTTGATCCCGAGCCCGAGCATGCTTTTCTTTCTCAGGCCAACAGAATTCAGCTTCTTCCCATCGCTCAGCATGACCGGAAAAGTAACTCCGGTTTTCTGTTCAGCCTCGACTGGTACATCCTTCTCGTTTCCTAAGGCATGTTCTTCTGGTTCGTCTTGCTCGACCTTCTTATCTTCTTTCTCGTCCGTTTTTTTCTCGGTCTCACAATCAAACAGCTTATCCTTTTCATGGGCATTTTCGTTCGAATTGAGCTCTGTCTCGTTGGGGGTATCTTTCATGGCCGATCCCAAGTTGGAATCGGTCTCTAGCATTTGGGTTTTCTCTGCAACATTAGTAACAGTGGGTGCCATTTTTTAAGGAGAAAGAGAGTTGAAGCAAAGAAAGTGAGAGAGTAGTATTTTTATTGTTTTGTGGGATGATTTGGGAACTAAGGAAGAGATTGTTTATATATATGGAGTCATTGTTGAGAAATTTGAGGCGCATTAAAGTTGCTCTCATTGTTGAGAAATTTGGGTGTACCTCGGTAAGAGCATTTGTGATAGAGGGACCTTGAAGATTTGAATGCCTGAGCTCATTCAATGTTGTTCACAAGAAAATTTATTTGTTTTGTGATGCTTATATAATTTTAAGTATCACAATTTATTTAATCATGAAGATAAGTCCAAAATTAACTATTTTATTTTTACTTTATGTTATTTATATAATATATCAAATTAATATTTTTTGTTAGTTTTTGTTTTGACATCCATATTGACGTTTTAAAATAAAGAACAATCATATATACCTATGTCATTATTAATAAAAATATTAGGTGTTGTTTAAGATTTATTTACAAATTTAAAATAAAATAAAATACCTATTTTTATGTTTTAAAAAGAATTAAGGGGTGTATTCAATTGAGATTTTTAAAGACTTTTTAGGACTTTAGAAATTTTGGTGTATTCAATTTAGATTTGTTAAGACTTTTACAAGTCTTGAGTATTGAATTGAGATTTTGAAAAGTCTTACAAAATCTTGAAGTAGGATCTGTTAAGACTTTTAAGATTTGGTGGGATTTCTAAAGAAAAAACCTTCTACGAATTTTCGCTCTAAATCCCACCTCTATACTTAAGATTTCATATAATTCCTCTAAAATTTAAAAATCTTAAAGTCTCAAATCTTAAAAAATTTCAAAATGTCACTTTAAATCTCAATTAAATAATAAGTATAATTTTTTTAGTATACCAAAACTTGGGTATTGCAAGTTGCCGTGACTGTATTAGTAGTATGCAAATAAAAATAATATTTTTAAAAATGAATTTAAGAATTAATCTCAATTATGTTTTCGAGTTTTATTATGGCGAAATTTTCTATTTACCATATGGTTTTAAAATATTTGCATATGTGCAAAGGGGGAGATTGCATCCCTACCAATTGCATGACAATTATTTGTGAGGGTGCAAAAATCAGTTACCAAATAAATAGGATGAAACGTTCTTTTAATCAGTTACCAAATATAATGATTTACCATAACAATATCCCCTGTAACCTACGAGATGCATGCCTAAAAGAAAATTGTAATACATGATGACTAAACATAAAATCACGAGATTGGTAGTTTTCTAAAAATTTGCATAATTGATTTTTGAAAACGAGAACACAACAACGATCTCGTTGAAGAAGCAACAACGAGAACACATACAATCTATATTATCTATCATATCGCATGTGTATATATATATATATATATATATATATATATATATATATAACACATACTGTACATATACTGATCATAAACTAAAATGTACATATACTGTAGATAAAAATAAGTAAAAAATATAAACAAATTCAGACATCAAAATTGCGTAAATAAAACTGCAATATATACAGAAAATATACTGTCTATAAACTCAACATATACTGCTCATTTGAAATATTCTAAAATATTTTCGCTACATTACTTCTCCTATTGTTCTTGCGATTGTTTCAACCTTGGACCTCCTTCAACGAAGATCCAGTCGTCAGCGGCATCGACCTCGGCTGAAGCCCACAACCCAGCGACCTCCGCCACTTACGAGCCAGAAAGGACCGCCGCACGATCGTAGTCGTCCGTTTCAGCCGCCGAATTCGTGGGTTGCTGCGCCACTCCCCCCAACCGAGAGGCGAGTGGCAGCTCTTTCAACCTCTATCTTGACTGCTGAAACGACTCGCTTTTTTTTGGAACTCCTTAGCCCTCCACCACTGACTGTGATCACCAGGCTTCGAAAAAAAAAAAGATACCATGAAAATATCAAATAAGTATGAATTTGGAGAAGAGAGAGAGAGAGGGAGCAGAAGGAGAGAGAGATAGAGAAAAAGATTGCATTAAACTCGGTAAGTTTTTCTCATAAATTAAGCTAATTATTGATATAATATATATATATATATATATATATATGTAAAGTTGCAAATAAAGAAATTTTATATAATATTGTAAATATTTGGAAAGGGATTTCATTTATGTAATAAAATATTAATTGTGTTGTATAAGGGGTAATTTTATTTTTATTCCACTGGTACTGATATGGCCCAACCCATTGTGGCCTTATCACTATTGAGAAAAAATAATTGGGCTTTGGCCCAATAAAATAGTTTCATGTATGAGCCGATCAAGCCGGTATCTGGATTTCAGCCATACCTAATTCACCTCTGAGATTCTGTTTTCGCGAGCTGCTCATCGATCGAGAGGTTCTTTTGACATGACCACTGTAATTGCGGCGACGAAGGAGGAGCGGATCCAGAGGCGGAAAAGGGTCGGAGGCAACCTCAAAGCTAAGAGAAAGGCCAAGGCCGCCGCCGCCGCCGCTACAGACAATGGACATTCTCCTGCCGAGAACGCGGCGGCTACAGACAGTGGACATTCTCCAGCCGAGACCGCTGCAATTACGGCGACGAAGGAGGAGCGGCGGCGGATCAAGAGGCGGAAAAGGGTCGGAGGCAACCTCAAAGCTAAGATTAAGGCCGAGGCCGCGGCCGCCGCCGCCGCCGCTACAGACAGTGGACATTCTCCTGCCGAGACCACTGTAATTACGGCGATGGCGGAGGAGCAGCAGCTGAGCAGAAAGAGGAAAAGAGTCCGCGGCCGCCGCAAAGGAAAAAAAACTGACGAGGCCGCCGCCGCCGCTACAGACAGTGGGCATTCTCCTGCCGTCTCTCCTGCTTCTGTACCTTCTAATATCGTGAAGGGTTGCTCAAAATCTTCTTCACCTGTATCTCCTGCTTCCGTACCTTCTTCTAATGTTGTGAAGGGCAGCTCAAAATCTTCTTCATTTTTTCTCGACAAGGTACGAGAGAATGGTTTCGGTAACTTTTGGGAATTGTATGGTGATTTTATGTAATTATTTCTGGTTTGTTCATCGTATTCCGTTGTTTGGCAGATGAAAGCGAAGTTAACCGGAGGTCATTTCCGCATGATTAATGAGAAGCTGTATACTTGCACGTATGTTGTTTTATTCTTCTTTTGTTTTGTTTTTTTTTTTCCTACATGTGTGTGTGTCTGTTTGTGTGTGATCCTCACCGGTAGAGTGTAATTTGCCCTGTATTCTTGTTCTCTTTTTTACTTGTAACTATTATCGGATTTGGAACTGTGAAAATTTTGGTTGTGAATATTCACTTAATTAGTACTTCTGAATGTGCTTTAGCAGTAAGATATGAAGTGGGTTTTCTTACTTTGTCTATTTACTTTTCATTGAGCTCAGTGGGGATGAAGCACTCAACTACTTTAAAGAGGACCCATCGTTGTTCCATGTGGTGAGTTTATTTTGTGTGCATAAGTCTCTGCATACTAATTTCATTGTGGCTAGCTGCAAGAGTAAATCCTTGAGTTTTACACTATTGAGTTAGATCATTGTCTCTGCATAGTTAATGAACTCAATAGGTGTTACCAAGTGTGTACTGTCCTATTTCTTTCTTATCTTGAATGGTAAGGTTTCAACAGCTAATTTGGAGAACATAGATATTTCTTCATCCAATAGGATTAAGATTTGAGATTAGGCTTCAGTTGAACATCTTGATAGCTGTTTGATTTCACAAATCAGTATAGTAATAATATTATATTCTTTTCTCATTTTATCCATTTTTATTCCATTGTTCCACCTTCTCCAGATCCCACCTAAATATCTGGTATAAATGTTGTTTGAGATTTGAGTTACTGATGCAAAACCAGATAGCATATTTTGAAACTTATCTGTGATTAATCTTACACATCTTGCATTTTGATCCTCCACAATGTAACTTAATATTTTCATTTACCTCACCAGTATCATACAGGGTACCAAGAGCAAATGTCGCATTGGCCTGAGCTGCCTAATGATATCATTATAAAGTGGATAAACAATCAGAGTCCTTCTCTTGTTATTGCCGATTTTGGTTGCGGTAAAGAATCTTCATATATTACATTAAAAAATAATGATTCTCATTTGTTACCTTGGCTTTTACCTAGTCTGTGTTTGCAAAAATCATTCAGGGGATGCACGCCTCTCAAGAAGTGTGAAGAATAAAGTTTATTCCTTTGATCTTATTTCATACGACCCTTCAGTCATTGCCTGTGATATGTCCAAGGTTTGTTCGCCATTCTTCTTATATTTCCTTGCTGACTTTTGTTAGCAAAAGTAAAATAAGCTGCTAATGATATGGGTACACATATCTTCTCCTATTGTCATGCCTTAAGACGTAAATTATTTGGAAGAAACTTGTTAATAATGCAAATGCCTTTTTTTTTTTTATACGCCCCTTTGTGGGTGAGTGTATGGTGCTTTTGTCCTTATTTACTGTAACTTCTTTGAGAATCATGACTGTGATGTGTAGACACCCCTCGAAGATTCTTCTGTGGATGTTGCCGTTTTTTGTCTCTCGTTAATGGGAACAAACTTCCCTAGTTATATTCTTGAAGCAAATAGGGTCCTTAAGACTCGGTAAGTACTCAATAATTGACAATTTGGTATCATTTAAATCTTAAACAATGAAAGTTTAGTTCGAATTCTTTTATTTCATTATAACATATATATTTTTTATTTTTTATTTTTTATTTTTTTTATGTATTGATCGTTTGCAGAGGGTGGCTTTTAATAGCAGAAGTGAAAAGCAGATTTGATCCAAGTACAGGAGGAGCAGACCCATACAAGTTTATAAAAGCAATATCCCAACTTGGATTTGCCACTGTGGCTGAGGTATTCATTAAGTTTCGCCTCCATTTACTTTGTAAAGCATATTAACACAACTCACTGTTCTTACTAAAAATCTACATATTTTTTGCAGGATTTTTCCAATAAAATGTTCATACTGTTCTACTTCAAGAAGAAGAAGGTTTTGGTGCTTTTCTTGATCTACCGGAAATTTTTCATCTCGAAATAATGTGTGATTTCTGCCCGAATAATATTTTTTTCTCAACTCCTTTGTTTTATTGTGCAGGAGAAGCAAAAACCGAAAGATATCGAGTGGCCTGAACTGAAACCTTGCTTATACAAACGCCGTTAATCTTGTTTTGCTCATAGTTAATAAGGATTTTCGCGGCCGGTATGTATGCATGGAGATGGGTTTTTGGGCATAATTGCAGCTTTGATATTCGAACTTCTTTTACTGGCATAGATTTGTATGCTTGTGATAGTAGTAATTTTAACTTTTTATGAATGTTTGTTGCATTTTTATTCACTCCAGAGTTCTTATATTCTTGAAAACATTATATTCAGTGAGTTGGTTGAAAAACATTAAATACTTGGAATTTCTGAAGGCAACAGAATCAGTAACCAAAGTATTTCACACATTACCTTCACAGAATTCATCCCAATGCTGCTAAATTTATTTGTGCATAAAGAAAGAAAGTCATAAATAGGCATATAGTCAGCTGTTTTTTTACGTCATTTTCTTGTTCACTTTCTATCATGTATGTTTCTACGTATACCCTTTTGACCGATTGTACTTTCTTAACAGTTGGATCTATACACATTCATGTGTTTGTATGTGTATGTGCACGATCCTACAGNTTTTCAGAATTTTTTTTTTCTTCAAACGATAGAAATTTTATATCATAAAACACATAGATACATCCAGAAAATAATTCAAAAGCCGAAAAGACAGTTCAAAAGCTGAATCTAGTGGGAGAACAGATTCAAAGATCTACATTAGAACAAACACACTCACTAACAAACATAGAAAAACAAACTTCATAACTGGAGAAGATGCTATAGTTTGGATAGCTCAAACCTTCCCATTCTCACCTTTTACATTAACATATATGTGAATGAAAGCCTTTTTAGTTTTTACCATTTCACATATCCCCATATGTAAATCTTTGAAGTCTTAGAAAACTTTAGTCTTTTTCATGATTTCACCTACCAAAATCATTCTATCTATTCCAATCTTATGAATACTTCAAAATTACCTCCGATTAGTCTTTCGTCTTGACTTAATTTTTTACCTTCTCTTTAACAGACAAATAGATCAAAGCACTAAAATCCATATTTTATTTTCCATTTTTTCTTGTTATAGCTAAAAATATAGGGATAATAGATTAGAGAGTGCCGTTGACATGATAAATAATTGCAAAAGAAGACAAATGAGAGGCATTTAAAAAGCAATCTAAACCTATAAATAAATTGGTGGAATCATTATGGCTATGTTTGGTAAACTTAATTGATAAACTAGTTTATAAGTTTTAAGTGAATTTTGAGTTTATAGCTAATAATTTATGACTTATGGCTAAAAAGCTAGCTTATATGATAAAAGATTGTGGTAAAATTAGATAAGCTAGCTGAAAAAAAAAAATCAAAGAACTTATTTGAAAAGCTACCCAAAGAAGTTCGTCTTTCCAAACCAAGCTTATTTGACGTTCCTTGTGGGTCGGGTAACCAAATCCATGTGCAAATTAGTTTTTCTTTGAGTACAAGAAATTAACACGGTACAAATCATAAGAGAAACTAACGTTTACAATGAGTAGTTTTCTTTTGAATACATCAATGGTGTGAATCCACTCGTAGTTTTCTCAATGAGTAGTTTTCGTTTGCCTTAAATTTGAGTGTTCTTATGATAGTTTCATCTTTAAAAGCAGCTAAGAGAGATATGTTAAAAGATGATGAAAGTTAAAAAGTAAGGCAAAGACATGGATGCACGTGTGATTGCAGCATGTAATTTATTTTAAGAATCATAACCAATTAATTAGCTCAAAAAAATATTAAACTATTTTATTAGCTCAAAAAAATACTAAATTATTATTATTATTTATGTGATTTTAAGATGTTTATTATGCCCTTAGAACCAACTAGCTCATTTTTAAGATGAAAAAAATAATATTGATTATAGAATAAATAACTCGAAAAAAAAAAGTTCAGCAATATAATGTTTTATAAATATGCAACTTTTACACACAAATTATTACAAAATTATAATCTATATATATATAATAAGAATTAACATTTTTCAAAAATAATAAGCAAAAAAATAGGAAATATTAATTGCATTCTATTTTTGGTATGTTTTTCTAATTTTTTTTAATAAAAAATCAATTAGCATTTAATGTAGCACAAATAATGGGATTTGTTATATAGATGCATATTTGAATTTCAAACTTCAAACAAAACATGCCTAAATGTATTTTGAATTTTGTAGGGCAAAAATTTAACAAATAGGTGAAAGATTTCATACAATACATATATTTATATATATTGTCTTAACATATAGGTTAATTAGTTTCATATCTAAACAATATATATTTAAACAATATATAAACAAATATAATAGTTTGTCGTACAATACAGACAAATATATAAACAATATATTTATATACAAATATAATAAACAATACAAACAAATATACAAACAATATATAAACAAATATAATAACTTGTCACGTGTATATTTCGTACAATACATATATTTATATATATTATCTTAACATATAAGTTAATTAGTTTCATATCTAAACAATATATATTTTAGGAACTTAAAGATTCATAACATTACTGGCATCATGTATATTTATAATATATTGTCACATACATTTTACTACAACTTGTAACCTTTTTAAAATTATTTGAATAATTGGAAGTTGATTTATAATTTCAATTTCAAATTCATTCAAACATTTAAAAGAAAATATCATAAGCAGATTTTTTTGATACATTTCATTTTATCTCAACTTACATATGATCACATTCCTACCAAACATTAAATTTGCTTATATCTTTTTAAATTAATTACATCAATAAATAATATTAATATACATTACATATTTATCATTATATAATAAATATATTACTTCTACAAGTGTTATAAATAATAATTACATTATATGATAATAGATTTTTTGATAGATTAGTAATTGAGTATTATGATGAACCAAAATATGTAAAATTATTATTATTTTGTATTAAAAATAAATATATATGTTAAAATATTATTTATATAATAATATATACAGGTCAGCATGCTAATATATTGTGAAAATAAAGTTTTAAAAAAAAGTTCTAAAGTACGAAAACCCCGTGCATCGCACGGGATTCTCACTAGTTAGTCATAAAATAGTTAAAAGATGCGATTACAATTAATTAATGTAGATACGGAATTAATTAATGTAAAATGTAAAAATTTGTTTCCACAAATAAATGAATTTTTTTTTTTGAAAATTAACCGTTATTAACTAGTTCTGGTTTCCCTTCCCTTGTCAAACTATGGCAAGATTATATCGTCTCCTTTTCCTAATCAAATTATGGCAAGTCTTTCCTTATTCGAAAGTAACTTTTGCAGCTGTAATTACCCCGCAACTTTAAGTTAATTGCACTCCTAAAATTCCCTATAAATAAGGCATCTAATCTAATGAAGGCTAAAAATTTCACACAACAAAACCTAATAGTAGTTACAGTAAATCAATCAAAGCAAGCAAATCCAAGAATGGGCGATTACCCATTGGGATTCCGATTCTCCCCCACCGACGAGGAGTGCATTAGATATCTCCTGGGGTTCGTCACAGGGAATCCCCTGCCCTCCCACAACCACATATCCGTCGACGACCTTTACGGCGAATCGGAGCCGTGGGACCTTTTCGGATCTTCCGCCGCCGCCGGGTGTCGGTACTTCTTCACGAGGCTGAAGCGGGTCGGCGGCGGGTCGACGGCGGCGGCCCGGCGGTACTCGAGGAACGTCGGGCAGGGAACTTGGTCCAACAAGGGCCAGAAATCGGAAGTTTTCTGCGGGAAGGGCGGGTTAATCGGGCACACGAGAAGCTTCCGGTACCAGCCGAGGAAGTCGCCGGCGAGGGGTCCGGCGAGGGGCCGGTGGGCGTTGAAGGAGTACGCGCTGGCGGAGGATCGGGTGATGAAGGGCCGTGTGGTGAGGCCGGACTACGTGCTCTGCCTCCTCAAGAAGAAGAAGAATGGTGGTGATGTGAACGATGACGAGGATGATGACGTGGATGAGGGAACTTCGGGCGGATTTCCGCCCGACCCGCGGGTCGGAGGGGATTCGGGCAATCAGATAGGCGGTCGGGCAGTTGAAGGAGAGAGTAATGAGGAATTGGGGGCAGTCGAGCGCTGAGTTGGCGCGTGAAAACGGGTACTACTGCCCCTCGAGTGTTTATTGATCGGGCGGGTCGGGTTTTTCCGACTTTGGGTCGGGTTGGGATTTTTGGAAGATTCAGTTTCTTCATTTGCTTTGGGTTTTTGTTTTGTGTTTTCTTTCTTGATTTGTTGATATTCTTCTAATTACTTTGGTGTGTGTTACTTTTGTTATGTAAACAACATGCTTTTGGTAGTACTCAAAGAAATATAAGTTCTTTGGTATCAGAATTGGANTGCTAATTGAAAACGGATGATTTTACCTACTAGTGTAATCCAACCAAATAAGTCGAGTTTGAGCATTTCGAGTTCGTGTTCGTTTACGTTCGAACACTATTTGAACGCGTTCCTTTATTTTCGAGCAAAAATCGTGTTCGAGCGCGTTCGTTTAATTGTTTATTCAGAATTAGAGCTTGTTCGTGTTCGAATAATTTAGGACACAAACTTTTTAAATATATTTGATTAACTCGAAATATATTCGTTCGAATTAAAAAATAAAAAAAATTATATATTAGATTTTCTATTATAAATATCGTGCATATATATAAATAAAATAAAATAATATTAAATTAATGTTCGCGAAATTTGTCAAAAGTTTGCGAACGAGCTCGTATTCGTTCGATTTAAACGAACTTAACTTTCTGTTCGAACTCGGCTCTGATTGACAAATGAACGAGCTTGAATGAACTGTTATTCGGAAGCTTTCGATTCATTAATACCCTAATTCCACCCTAACAATACGATCCAACAGTTAAAAACTCTATGAGGCCAGTAGTAGAATTAAATTTCCTGTGGCTGGCGGCTCACGACCGCTTACTGACCAATGGCGAAAGGACCCGGACGCATCTCACTGCCTCGTCGGAATGAGAGCTTTACGGTGTGACCGAAAGCGGAAGCGGGTATACATTCCCTACGTATGATCCAGTGGATTCCGCCGGAAACGGGATGGGTAAAAGTGAACACAGATGGGTCCTTTAATCGCACCACAGGCCTGGGTATTGGGTATTGCACTACCATCGGAGCCGAACTTTGGGGATTGTTCCAGGGCCTACATCTGGCCTGGGAGTTGGGGTTTCGAAAGGTTATTGCGGAAGTTGACAGTCAAAGCGTGTCGGAAATGATCCTTGGGCCAGAAATTGAGTTTGGCGCCCACGAGACCCTAGTCCAAGCCATTAGGAGCTTGGTGAAGAACAATTGGACCATTCGGATTCAGCACGTCCACATAGAAGCTAACTTTGCCGCTGACCATATGGCCGAACTAGCGGCCTCTTACACGATAGGCCTGCATAGGATCACGTCTCCTCCTCCAGGGCTGGATGCTTGGATTGACCATGATGTCCGTGGGGTGGCTTACCCACGTCGTGTTCTAACACAGTAGTCTCGGACTCTGGCCTCCATCTTTGTACCAAAAAAATAAAATAAAATTGCTTAATCTTCTGTTTTTTCTTATTATTTATAAAACTATTAACAAAAAGGTTTTGTTATGGAGTCTTTAATGTCACATCTTATTAAACCAACCATTCACAATTATTAACAAATAGTATATTGACATAAATATATTTTGAATCAATGTATCAAGCTATGGGTGGCTCCTTTCCATAAAGAAGTCATCCACTAGCCCCATATAATTTATGATTCACAAAAGGTAATTGAAAAACGAAATGAATCTACAATAATATAATGTAGATACGTTCAGTGCAATGAAAATAACAGTCCTGCTATAGAGTCAACCGTTAGTTCCATAGCATTTCCAATTGAAATAAACCTCATTGTCTATGAATTCATATATATATTATATTTAACATAAATTCTAGCACAATCATATTATCCCATGTTGGTTACTTTTAAATTAAAATGTCATATTAAAAATAGAATATAATATTTCATAAGAAGCATATATGCATTTTATTAAAAGATACTGGCGAGTCGTCTTGCCTAGTCGTAGTTGGGTACACATTTTTATTTTTCATTACTAGGCTCCGTTATCATGTAATCTGTTATCAAGTTATTGTAATTAATGAAAAATAAAGGAGGAAGACTTAGTAAATTGCAAAGTTTTACCAAATATATGTTTATTGAATTTCCATGAATCATGTACTATATATGCCTCTTTCATAAATCATAATAATCATTAAAAATACTAAGATTTTATGATAAATTAAAATTACAACTATTCTTTTTTTCTAAAATTTTAGATTATACTAATGAATAAATATAACCAATTAACCATTATCTTGTTACATGTTAAACGAATTGAATCGAGTAACTGTCGAGCCTTGAGGATGCTTGGATATAATTCGTTTTTGGATTTGTTTGGATTTTTTTGGTTTGGTTTGGTTAATTTTGAAAAAGGTGGTATGGTTAGTTGTTATTGGTATATTAAAATAATATTAAAAATAAAATAATTAAAATTGATTTAATGTAAAAGTATGAGAGAAATGATTTGAAGTGATGGTTAGTTAAAATTATATGAGAGGATGAATAGTGAATTAAGGTTGATGTGATGTGTAAGAATGATTGGTTGATATTATTTAATTATATTAATAATATTAATATTAATTGAGTTGAGTTAAAGTTGAGTTAAAAAAAATAATTGAGTTAAAAGTGTTTAGATTTTTTGGATAAATTTTGTATCCAAGCATCCTCACGAATCTCACGTGCAATTAGTGAGGAAATCAATAGTAATAAACAGGAAAAAAAGGCAACAATAATTCATTAATTTATTTATTTTCCTTAAAAAATTATTCACAATGGATCCACCAGTACTGGACATCCACGTACTTACGAGCATAATTTGTTTTATTAACTAAAATCTCATAATTAATTGTAGACCAAAAGCGAAAAAAACAAAAACAAAAACAAAAAAGTCTCATAAAATTATAGCAGTTTTGCCTGTTTTCTTCATTGCAATCTCCAGAAAGATACAACTCTTTTGGGAGCTCTACCATTTGTTTTGATTGCTGCCTTTTTCTCGCTTTGTTTTATCACCACTCACTCCGAAAAGTATACCCCACTTACGTTTGAAACCTCGGTCTTGGACCCATTCTAAGTTTGAAGGCTGTCCGAATTTTCCTGAAAAGGGCACCGAGTCAAATCGCTGACGTTTCAGGTTCTTGAATCCTTACATTCTGCAACGTTGTTTAATTTGATTGATTCATTTTTGTGTTGTCTTATTTTTGGGTTACCATTTTATTTCCTTAAGCGTCGATTAGTAGCGGAAAGTTCATCACTTGTTCTGCATCTGTTTGAACTTTGAACTGTTCAGAAATCTAACATTTGCTTCCTTTTTTATTTTTATTTATTTTTCTCTCGTTCTGATTTTAGTGTGGGATTGGAATTTAACACCCGGCTCTCTTGGTAGTTTAACAGATTTATGGCTATGAGGCATTGAATTTTGGAGTTCTTTTAAATGTATTTACCTGAAAAAATGTATCTTTGTGTTGTGGTTGATTATGTTTCATATTTTACCAGCTATGGGCTGCAAAGGGTTGATGAAAATGATTGAAAATTTGCATTTTGTTTGTTAAGGCAATGGAAGCTTGACGAATACTGATAACATAGAGTGGACATTATAGGCACCCAAAAAATGGGTACACCGATAAGAAGGTCCACAATTTCAAAGTAACTCTACGACTCAGAAACTTTTCATTGAAGCTCAATTAGCTGTAGTACCATCAATGAATATGTTTTTTCTCCTTTTTTTTTTTCACTCAGCAGCTGCCAAACAAGGAAGACAAATGACACAATGAGGCTTATTATGACGACTTTTGTGGGGATTTTATTTGGATTCTTTTTGGGCGTATCTTTTCCATCGATTTCATTGACAAAGGCATGAGACTTGAAACTTGCTCTTTTAGTTTCTTAGTATGAGCGAACTTTGCATTAGATTCGTGAGGCTGTTATTTTAGTTTCTTTGGAATCCTGTTGGGATCATTGTTCATTGAGCCATTTTGATTATTTCCAGGTTAATTTGCCATCAAACATATTTCCTTCCATTGATCTTACTTATATCGAGGATAAGTACTCAGGTCTTTCTACTCAAGCTCTGTTGAATGTATGGTCTTCCTTTAAGGGGCGTAGAGGCTTCTCACGCAAGTTTAATAATACTAAGGTGACCAGTTTTATATTATTAAGCTTGACTTACAGAAGAAGAATTTTCTCTGTACTTTCACTTTTTGAATTAAGTTTCCCTTGGTATTTGCTAATTGAAGCAATTCTAATTTAAAACATTTTCCAAATCTTGTATGATTATTAACTTCTGCAGATATGGGTTCCGACCAATCCTCGAGGTGCTGAGAGACTGCCACCTGGCGTTATAGCAGCCGAATCCGATTTATACATTCGCAGATTGTGGGGTCTTCCTAGTGAGGTTTGTTTGCATGCTCTGGTTAATCTTCTTACATCATGTCACATTTCTCCTTCAAATTTCTTGATATATATTAATTGTTTGTTGCACATGTGAATTGTGTTATCTTTATTCTCACAAATTTTGACCAAATAGATTGACCCTTACAGGATTTGATTGTTAGACCCAGATACCTTATTACTTTTACTGTTGGCTATGATCAGAAAAACAACATTGATGCTGCAGTAAGAAAGGCAAGCTACGAAAAAAATTACCTTGTTTTGTTTATCTCTCCATCTAAGTATGATTTTTAATCTGAGTCTACATTACAGTTGACGGAAGACTTTACAATTTTACTGTTTCACTATGACGGTCGAACGACCGAATGGAACGAATTCGAGTGGTCAAAACGGGCTATCCATGTAAGCGTACGAAAGCAGACTAAATGGTAATTTTGTGACAAATTTCACTCTACCGGATCAATAGTCACAATAACATACTGAACAGGATAACCAAAAAAAAAATATATATATAAAAATTATAATGTGTTCATATCTAGGTGGTATGCAAAGCGCTTTTTGCACCCGGACATTGTGGCACCGTATGATTATATATTTATCTGGGATGAAGACTTAGGTGTCGATAACTTTGACCCAGAGGCGTACGTTTCTTTTTTCTTTTTGTTTTTTCTTTTTCTTGTTCTTTTTGAAGAAAAAAGAACCCAACTTTATTGTTGTATCATTTGTGAACAGATATATAAAACTGGTGAAGAAACATAAGTTGGATATTTCACAGCCCGGTTTGTCTCCAGACAGTGGAATGACATGGCAAATGACACAAAGAAGAGAAGATACTGAAGTTCATAGGTACATTTGATTCATTTCTTGATGAGTTGGACTGCACAAAAATTAAAATTTTTAATTATTTATTTTTTTCACTTTCAGGGATACAGAGGAAAGGCGGCCCGGCTGGTGCACGGATCCTCACTTGCCTCCCTGTGCTGCGTACGTACATGAGTTTTTACTTTTTACCATCTAAGAATTATTATTTTTCTTCTATGAATGTATTTTTTTTTTAAAAAAATAAAAGTTATATACAGATTTGTGGAGATCATGGCTCCAGTGTTCTCTCGAGTTGCATGGCGCTGTGTTTGGCATATGATTCAGGTATTTAGTTTTTTCGACTTTTCATATTTGATATTTCAATTGTGTGTGAATGATTTAATAATATATTTAAAGTACCGGCTAATGCTGCAGAACGACTTGGTCCATGGATGGGGTCTTGATTTTGCTCTCAGAAAATGTGTGGAGGTCAGTTTAAATATATTTAAATAATCAATCTATTTGTTTTTTTCTGATTGGATGAACAATTCTTCCCTCCCGAAAAATAAAATAAAAAAACAGCCTGCGCACGAGAAAATTGGAGTCGTAGATTCTCAATGGATTGTGCACCAAACTGTTCCTTCCCTTGGGAATCAGGTATATCTATAATAATATCTCATTTCAATGGTATTTTTTTTTTTTTTTNTTATTTATTTTTAATTATTCTTTTAATGCAATGAAGGGTCAAGCAGAGAACGGCAAGGCACCATGGGAAGGGGTAAGACAATTCGACTAAGCTCTTGTATATTTTTTTTATACAATTTGACAATTTGCTGGAGTCTTTTGTTTCATTTGTTTCTAACTTATTTGTGCAAGACTATAAATTGTATTGCAAGAATAGATTTCTCGGTTTTTTCTCTTCTTAGGTACGAAAGAGATGCGAAAAAGAATGGGATATGTTTGAGGATCGATTGGAAGCGGCTGAAAAATCATACTTTGAAGCTATGGGAATTAAACTTCCTAATGCAACAGCTGGGGCTCATTAGGAGAACTGTAAATGCAAATTTGCATGGAAAAAAGAAAGAAAAATGGAGGAGAACTTTTTTTTGTGTTGTCTTTTTTCATTCGTGTTGAATCTCGACTAGCCCCTTTTTGTCTTTAGACCCAAATTCAGAAATTCTGCCCTTAACTCTGGGTATTAATAGAAATGATTTTTTTTTTAACTGTTCCAATTTATATTGTCCTAGTGCCTTCAGTTTAGTTTTTGCATAGTTAGTCTTCGTCTGGAGTCAGTTTAGTCTCCCTTAATGAGAATGGTTTAATCTCTTTTTATGAGAGTGTATAAGTTGTGTTTGTAGTTAACTCCTCATATATAGTTAGTTTATTATCCTNTTTATAAACAAGCTTATTAAAAAAATGCTTTATACATCAAATATATATATATATATATATATATATAAAAAAACATGTAACAACAAAAAACTGCAACTATGCATTTCCTCATGTCCAGTAGCTAATAATATGATAAAAATTGAATTAACAAGAAAAGGCAACTACATATATCCTTTGGTAATTTCCTCTTCCAACTCCTGAAATTCCCATGCATCATCAGCTGAATATTCTCCTGTAAAATGCAGAATTCATTTGAAATATGCAACTGTGGAAGGAATGTATTATAATTTATATGATTGTGGATAAAAAGGCAAACGGAAAATTCAAACGGAAGTACTCGTTATCACTGCTGCTTAACTAGAAAACATATAACTTCAGTAAAACATATATAACCACAAATTCATGAGAAATCTTTCTATTTCCATTAACAGCACAAGTGTAAGATATAAAGCATTTGTGGGGCCTCACCGATTGAATCCCGACGCAAGGCTGTCAAATGTGCACAACTGCAACAGTGAAAAAAAACAGGGTAAATTCCAGTTAGATATCGGTTAATCTCTCTTATAACGAGATTAGAAAACACCACTTGTGTCCTACCTGCCAAGAGCCTTCCCAAAATCAGCACAAAGAGATCGAATATATGTTCCTTTCGAACAAGTCACCCGGAAAATCACATTTTGCCTGCACAGATAAAATTAAATATGAAAAAAATTGCAATTAATTATTATATCAGAGCTTTGGCGTAAACACTAGGATTAAATTAGTGGGGTATTATCAGAACCTGTCGTCTAAACTTCGTTCAACGTCAAAATTGAAAATTGAAATCCTTCTAGGTGAAAGTTCAATGCTTTCTCCTTTTCTAGCTTTCTCATACATCCTCTCCCCTCCAACCTACCACATAAAAGAATATCGTAATCGTNTTTATTAAAAAAAAAAAAAAAAAATAAAAAAAAAATGAAATGGAGCTTCATGTAATATATCCAATGGGATAAGGGAAATAAGGTCAAAAGTAAAAAAACCTTACTTTGATAGCAGAGAACATTGGTGGGACTTGCCATATCTCCCCACGAAAGGATGCTGCAGCTTTCTTTATATCCTCGTCCTTAATATCTTCCCAAGGCTCCCTTTGGATGACCTGAATGTACAAAAATTCTCAACTTTCCCCTTATTTGAAAAAAATATAGTAAAAAAAAAAATCTTTTAACTGTTTGAGACTCCACATACAACAATTAACTAATGACCAATTTCAATCAGCAAAGCAATTGACAAGACCAGCATAGATTCACCCAATTTCTGTTCTTCAGAATGATAATAAACCACTCAACTTCACGACCTTGAGAATTACATAGTATTAGGCAATACAAAATTCATGGAAAAAAAATAAACTCACAGGCGAATCAGCATCCCATGTTGAGGTGGCTTCCCCTAAGCGAAATATTCCACTGTAACCCTTTATCATGCCTTGATATCTGCAGAGAAAGTAGTTGTATTTTGAGAAAGAGCATTAATAAACATTAATCCAAGAATAAATAAATGAAATTAAGAAGCTCCATATATTTGAATCAAAGGCCTACCTGTCGACTACCTTTGTGGCTTTACCAACACATACAATCAATAAACCGGTTGCCATAGGATCCAATGTTCCAGCATGGCCAACCTGCAAAAATTTAGTAGATAATATTAATATCAACAAAAATGATCGATGAAATCCATCATCAGTTAAAATACGTTAATCACCTTCTTTACTTTAACCAGGCGCCGAAGCTTTCCACAAACTGTAAATGAAGTCCAACCTGTATCAAAATCGTCTTATGTTTTTTAGTTTATCTCCTAGTTTTGGAACAATGTCGAAATGCAAGTATCACAAGAGAAATGAAAAGGCTCTCTCCACTATTCAGAGATTCTTTTTCCAACCACATAGCATTTCAAGCTATACATACCATTAAACTTCATGCTTTAACATCACAACCCGCTTGAATAGCATTATGAAAATTCATCAGACATAACAAGGATTAAAAAGGCCACACCTTTAGGTTTGTTCACCAGAACCACAGTCCCAATCGGCCCGTCCCATTTAGGCGGGAGCCCGACTCTTCTAGTCGAGAGAAAAGGGTCTGCAGCTTCAGCTGCATCCCCACTGGATTCATTGGGGAATTTCTTCAAACACTTGAAGAAATCCTCCACTTTCTTCTCTGTAACATCCTCAACACGCAGTTCCTTTTTTTCCTTCTCACTCTCCTCGAAAAATACCAACCCGCTGTCATCCTTGCCTGTGGCTTTCATATCTTCACCCCCAACTTCTTTCTTACCCGCCTCTTTCTTCCTCTTCCCCTGTTTCTGGTTCGGTTTGCCTGGGTCGAGAAATGCATTGTCGAAGCACTGGTCGGGGAAGTACTTCTTCTCCAGCTGATAAACCATCTTGTAGTGCTTGTTTTTCTCCCATGGGTAAGCAAACGCATCGTGAAAGTACAATTCCTCCTCCCGCTGGTGCACGGAGTGAAGCTCCACGACCTCCTGCTTCAGCTCGATGAAATCGCCGCCGGATTTCCCACGGCGGCCGCTTTCCTCCTCGGAATCGGATTCGCCGTACATTCTCTTCCTCCGTTTGTTGTAATACCTTCTCTTGGCCTTGTCCATCACCGGTTCTGTTTTACTGCTGTTGTCACTTTCGGTGCCTTTGCTGGAAAGCCTTTGGTCGACCCAGGCTTCGAAACCCGTGTCCGGGTCCTGGCCGGAGTCTTCGGATTGGGATTTGGGGAGGGCGGCCGGTGTGCGGCGCCGGATGGGCTGCTTCCGGGGGCTGTCGGCGGCGGGGCGGGTGACTATCATTTCGTATTGGAGCGGGTATGGTGTGGCGGTGGTGGATAATAATTTAGGGGACGCGGGGTTTAGGGGTTTCGGCCGGGCGGAGAGGAGGCGGAGCGGCGTCGTCGGGTAAGTGTGCATCGGCTTGGGGCGGCAGAGGTGGAGGAGAAGATGCAGGCTCAACGATTTCGCCATTATCATCTGGTTAGAGCAAGGCAAGCACAAAGATTTTCAGGCCTACATAAAGTTCATCCTTTTGTTTTGTTCAGTTTGCACAAAGTGATGGAGCACAAACAATGTACTGTATGCTTTAACACTAGTAATTTGACTTGTACCTTTTTTTTTTTATTAATTAACGAATTTATAGAGTATTCAATTTCAATTAAATCAATCATACTATATATTTTGTGTTAAATAATATACTCGTTTTTTGTTACTAAGTAGAAGCTAGTAAAATATCTTCATACGAGAATAAATCAAATAGCATTGTTTTAAAGCTTTGTTTTTTTTTTTTTATTTGTATGCTCATAGATCAGTTGAGTGTTATAGTCATACATAATTTCAGCTGTATTTTCAAATAAATACTTTTTTTTTTTTTATATAATGTCATATTTTAAAAAATAAAAAATAAATAAAAAATGACATTTCAAATTCTAACTATTTATTTTGTTCAAATTTTAACATCTGTATGACATAGCTACTAGAAATGTGATATTGAATAACATAAATATAATGCATAAAAAATCGACAAAAAAAACTATGAAACATTACTATATATTGACATTTAAATTAAAAAAATAAATATTGAGAAAATGCTTATAAAAAACTATAAATATTGAGAAAATGGGCTAATAAATGCTTATAAAACTGATTTTTACCAATATAATATCGGCGAGTACCATTGGCATTTAGACAAACCACTAATAGAAACACCGCACCGGTGGAAATTCCTCGCCGACGGCGTCAAACCGGGTTCTGGGTCCGGCCGACCGTTACAAGCCACGTGGCACAATCATAAGCTCCCATGTTTTGACCCCCAAATCAAATTGCGAGAACTAATAGCTAAATCCAAAAATCTCCGGCCTCTCTCCACCATTTTCCCTACAAGAAATCGTTCCGATTTACCTCAAAAGAAACTCAGAATCCAACTCTGAGTTTTCAGTTAGTAACATTCCCAAATTTTTCTGGGGAAAAACGATGTCGTCGCCGGACATAGCCGGAATGCTGGACAACTCGAAGGAGCTCGATCGGCTGAGGAAAGAACAGGAAGAGGTGCTCCTCGAGATCAACAAGATGCACAAGAAGCTACAATCTAGTGTGTATCGGTCCCACCGTAATAATTTTGTTGTTCCTCATTTTGCACTGGTATTATGAACTAATGGGTTTTATGGGATATTGTTTATCCAATGTCCGAGTTGTGGATTATCCTTTTCTGTTAACTCTTGAATTAGGAAAAAAAAAAACGAGTCTTTATTATCTTGTCCTGATTATGTTTGTCTGGGATTTCTGTGATTGAGATGGAAAAAAAATTGCGGCTTTGGCTTTTGGTGGATGGTCATAGCATGTGCCTGCGATGGATTCTTTTTTTTTTTCGGCTTTATATTTATTTGCTGGATCTAGGAGAATCTGAATTCACCAAGTTGAGCCAATTTTGAGGTTCTCAAGTTAAAAAGGCTTGGTTTTAGCAAGAAGGTAGTGAGTTGAGCTTGATTTAGCTTTTTAAGTCATTTATTCTTTGTCCCCAAGTGGAGAGCAGGTCATGTAATTTGATTATGAATTGGCTTTATGCAATTAATAGCCAAAGCTTATCGGCCCAGTTTTTTTCTTGTGGATTATGTGCCTCTGTGTATAATATGTGTGCTAATATGAATTCACTGCAAGTGCATTGATATAATTATGCAGCTTACCTTATGCGTAATGCTAACGGTTGGTAGGATCAGTTTTTACCATATGATTTGTTACGAAAAATAATCACCTTTTTATGTTGGCTGGGTTAGAGTGATCTCACATTTATGGAGATCAGATTCATGATTATTACACAACTATATGCTGAGGATTTGCCTTTTTCTTTTTGGCATGCAGCTCCAGAAGTAGTTGAAAAGCCTGGTGATAACTCACTTTCAAGGCTGAAAATGTTATATACTCAAGCCAAAGAGCTGTCTGAGAGTGAAGTGACGTATGTTTTGACTTTTGACTCGAACCTTTTCTTCGAATTTTTGTAGTTAGTGAAATTTCCTTCGAATTTGGGGGGAAGATTTAAAGAACATCTCTTTACTTGGCAATCATTACCATTCTTTATATTTGATTGCCTCCCGCATATATAAAAATATCAGACCATCCGAAAGAATATTTTTTTTTTGTACCCAACTACTTATTTTTCTGTGCTTTTGCAGTATTTCCAGCCAACTGTTGGGACAAATCGATGCATTGCTGCCTTCTGGAACTCAAGGGCAAAACCGGCGAAGGATAGGTGTGTACTTGAGATGAGCAATAAATCTCCAATTGGTGGTTTTGTGTATATGTTAGATAATTTTCATGCTTGTAGCTCAATGTTCATAAAGTAAAATCAGTTTGAAATTCATTCTCTTGGTTAGGCTTACACACAAGATCATATTTTGTTTATATATACCAAAAGCATCTCCTGTGATTTTGCTAAATTTAACATTGAGAAGATGAATCGAGCTCAACGTTGAGGGCATGTAAAAAACAACTTAATTTTGGAAATATTTTCTCCTGTCGATTTAACTTTAAAAGCTGTATTGCCCACAGAAGGCAGTGAGCAGAAGAAAAAGAAGGTGAAGGCAGATTCGGAAGTCCCGAGACTCTCTCAGCCTATGCGTAGTCATTTAGAGTCTCTTGCGAGTTTGAAGGGTGAACAAGTATGTGGTCAGCTTTTACAGTATTCATCCACTCGAATCAGTTTTAACTTTTTAACATTGAAAATTTGATAGTTGCTCATGATTTAGGTGGCAGCACGGATCACTCAAGAGGAAGCTGGAAAGGATGAGTGGTTTGTGGTTAAAGTTATCCATTTTGATAAAGAAACAAGACAGTAAGTGCTGCTTTCAACTGTGTGGGCCCACTTTACTGGCAGCAAAGCATTGATATAAAACTGATATAATATCAAGTTAAAACTACCCCCGATATGTTTCTGATTTGTTTGGTTTAATCTGATAGTTGTACATATTTCTATGTAGATTTGAGGTATTAGACGAGGAACCAGGGGATGATGAAGAGAGCACTGGGCAGAGGTGTGCATTTTCTTGCATTTTAATGCTCAACCTTTTTAATTTGGTCTATTAAATCATTCATACTGTCGAATTTCTGATGTTGTCTTCTTTTTTTCTCAAGGAAAAAAAAATCTTACTTTCCGGTTAATATTATAATTTTCCTTCAATATATCTCTGTGGCAGTCTGCCTCCAGTGAAAAACTCATTTATTTTGACTGGAAAAAATTTTCTTAAAATGCTTTGGGCCTAATTAGATAATATCTACAACCTGACAATTCAGGTGAAAATGATTTTGTTCTCATGATGTTTTAACTTTGGGGCTACTAACAATTTTACATTCCAAATATCTTTCACTGTGAAGATAACGATTTCAAAGAGACCTGTTTTCTATTTTCAGAGCTTGTGACTATTAATAATGTACAATCTTAATTGCTCACATATGTCTTGCTGCTTTTTCAGAAAATATAAGCTGCCTATGTCTCATATAATACCGTTTCCTAAACGGAATGACCTCGCTAGTGTCCCCGATTTTCCTCCGGGAAAACATGTTTTGGCTGTTTATCCCGAAACCACAACACTATATAAAGCAACTGTTGTCCAGCCTCGAAAGGTAGTTTTTTGCTCATTATTGATTACTCGTCAGGAAAAACGAAGATGAAGATGAACTAACTCGTTTTTGTTTTACGTGTGTTGTGGGATCGTGAATTTCGGTCATATAGAGGAAGATTGATGAGTAAGTAGTAGCATTACTTTTCTTTCTTGATTTTACTTCTTTCAGATGACACACAAAAGAGAGAAAAAGATGGTTGTACAAGATTGAGCTAATAATTTTCACTTTGAATAGGATAATTGCAATTGCAGAAATAAAAAGTACTTCCTTAATATTTGTTATTGAAAACATGAGCCTCATTTATGAAAAACTGAACGATAATCGGGCTTGTGTTAATTATGCCTAATTTCAAGGCTAATCATTTTTACTTATCCCCTAATCTTTTCCACTTATGATTCATTCTTTGGCATTTTGNCACCCACTTATGATTGTTTGGCATTTTTCAGTTATGTGTTGGAATTTGACGATGATGAAGAGGATGGATCTTTGCCTCAACGGTTAGTACCATTCCACAAGGTTGTTCCTCTTCCCGAAGGATACCGTCCGTGACCATATTCACACGACCCCGATTATTGTATGAATATATAATTTATAATTATAATGGATTTTTCTTTCATGTGCTGCTTAGGATTGTGATGAAATACTCAGAAACTGAAATGTGTATAGAGAATCCTACTTTGGGCTATATAATTTGTGTTGTCCTACATAAACAGATTTTGAACTTGAAAGGTCCATTCTTTCATACTATCTTCATTCCAACGACACGACATGACTATTGATATTCGAAGCTCGGTTTTTTTAGTTGTGCCCCAACTTTATTCTTCCCTAATGTAAGCTTTCTTTTTGGCTGGAAAATCACAAAGAAGTGCATTCTCAGGTACAGGAAAAAGGGTTGAGAAAGCGTTAAGGCAGTGCACCTTTTAACTTTAGAATCGGAACATTCATTCGTCAAATTCATCAAAAAAGTTTCATGGCAAGTTGTATACAAAATGTAATGTATAATCGAGAATTAGTTATCAAATTTAATTGAGTTTTTTTGTAAAATGTGTTGGATTTGGTCCCATTGGCACACGTGTTATTCGAGTTTGAGCAAAGTCAAGTAGTCTCAGTTAATAAATGAGTTGACTCGGTTCGGTTCGGTTCGGTTCAGTTTGGGTTGAGTTCAACTTGATTCGTTCAATAAATTTAAAATCTTAAGCAAGTTGTTCGTGAATAAGTTTGGTTTGCAATCAAACGAGTGTGGTAAACAAGCTCTATAAACTTTTGAGCTCAATGTACCAAAAAAAAAAAAAATTTGAGCTCAAGACTCATTTAAATAAAGAACAAGCAACATACGAAATACATAAAGTCGCATCTAAGGTTTAAAAGGAAAGGGGCAAAGGAGAAAAGTTTGTTCGTCTTCGTAAAATTGCAGAGCAGCCCTAAAAAGAAAAAAAACAGAAAATTTTTCCAGTGTTTAGCGCCATGGGAAAGAAGAAAGGCGAAGAAAGCCCTAACCCGAGCGAGCTGAAGGAAGGACACAATTTGCTCGGCCCGCCGACTTTCGAGCAGCTGGAGAATGGCCGGCTCAAGTGCGTGGAGACCGGCCACGAGCTGCCGCCTCACGCCAGAGACTCCTACGCCGACTCCAAGCACTGCCGGCTGGGGCTCATCGACGCCGCCCTCGCTCGGAACAAGCCGCCCCTCAACATGTTCAAGCAAGATCCGGCCGCCCGGTAAGTCTTTTTTGTGCCCCTTTTTTTTCCCTACGGAATTATGAATTTATGACAAGAAAGGATTTTTTGGACTGTTCAAATGCAACATTTTGTTACTTTCTTGTACAGTTTAAGCCACTGATGGAGTAAATTGATTAGCAGAATTGTGATTGAAAAAAGATGAGAACTTTTTTGAAAAAAAAAAAAAAATAGTAAAAAAATGCCTTTTGTTGGTTGTGTTGCAGTTCCAAGTTAATATGCAGATTGACTGGGGGTACAATCAACAAAACGGAGGAACATATATGGAAGCATATAAACGGGAAGCGTTTTCTGAACATGTTAGGTCCGGATTTTCCTCGAAAAACCTTTGCGAATTACAAGTAGTTAGCTGTTATTTCGAATTCACGTGTAATGATGATGTAAACAGATAAAAAGGAGGCAGAAAAAGAAGCACCAAATGGAAATACGGAGAAACAGGAAGAGAAGAAGGAAAAGAAGAAAATCAAGTACAGTGGATTGAAGAATAAGAATAAGAAGAAAATGGAGGAAGAGATAGAAAATATTGATGATATCATCAATGAAGTAAGGGACCCGGATGAAAATGGTAGTGATTCTGAAGATGAAGATGACTTTTGGATGCCTCCGGAAGGTGAACGGTGGGACAATGATGATGGGGGTAACCGTTGGGGCTCCGATTCAGAATCGGGACCCCAGACTGAAGATGATGACGATGAAGGTACGTCAAAAATGTCTTTTATGAGAAGGGCTTCTGAAAAATCGAGTGCTTCAACATATGTCCATTTGCTGACGATTTTGAACTTCTGATAGCAAACTCTATATAGTTTGGCATAGCATATTGCAAAAATGTGATTTGCAAATTGCAAGTGTTTACGTATCTACATTCTATTATCATGTATCGTTTTCTTGTGAAGATGGTTTAAATCATGTCATCTGTGCATCAATAAAAATAGGATCTATTTGATTCATAGTCCATGTATAAGATATACACACTCCTTGGTTTCTAGCTTGTGATGCCATTTTCTTGTAGCAGACATGGGAGCTGAAGAGGATAAGCTTGAAACTGCAGAGATATCAAAACGGTACATTTGCTTTTTTCAACCACATTTTCATTCTTTTTTTACCCTTTTTTTTTGCTTTAGTGTAGACTTGGGTGATAATTGTGACATGTAGCTATTTTTTGTGTTTGTTCGAGGAAATCCACATTTTCTTTTCTTCTCTTTTCCAACATGCAGGACAAAGCGAATGTCTCTAGAAATCGGGCCTAGTAGCTTTGCCTCAAGGAAGAAGAAGAAGAAGACTGATGTGCCATGAAGTTTTTTTTTTTTTAGCAAATTGAGCCAAAAATCCAGTTCTCATTTGTATTTGTTTATTCCACCATTTACATAGGAGTATAAATCATCAAACGAACCAGAAAAATGGCCCTTTATCGCTGTACTTGGTCTTTCGGTTCTTTGTTTTTCCAAAGCAAACGAATCAGTTTGTCTGCAAATTATATTTGAATTTTGAATAATTCCATTACATTTTGGTTCTGAGGTAGCCTCATTTTCTGATTTGAAATGTCTACAAATTGATGTGATGGTTGTTTACAACGAAGTTGTCGTTTGCCCATAATCATAATAATAACCTTTAGCCATAATTTAATGTCTGGCAAGTAACTCTACTTCGAACCTGATATTTTTACCACAATGACAAGAAAAAATATATAAAACTATGTATTTTTTAAAGTATGAAGTACACTACAACAAATTTCCTTTTCAGTTCCAACTATGAATAAATGAAGTTGTACAAAAAGCTTAAACTATGAATGAGGAATCAAGTACTACACTGCACCAAAATAACCCGAACAATACATGCATCATTTGGGCACTATTTCTCTCCAAGAACTGCCCGTCCCAAAGTAGCGATCACCAAATTCTCCCATGCCCGGAATAACGTTCATTTCTTTGTTGAGCGCCATGTCAATCTCGGATGTTACAATCTTGAGCCTCGGGAATTTCTTGCAGACGGTGTGTATTCCTTCAGGAGCCTGCATTATTGCATCAATGGGTTATTGTTCGATAAAACATGACAGAAAGAGCATTATTGCATATCATAAGTTATTGTTCGATAAAAAACGACAGACAGAAAAATAAAAATAAAAATGCATGTAATAATTGGATTAGTCACTCACTGCAATGAGATTTAGGAATATTATGTTGGATTCAGGGACACCCTTGTTGAGCAGCACAGAAATTGCTTTAATGGCCGAGTTCCCTAAGCATTAAACAGCAACAGAAGGTTAAAGTTATACGAGGGCATGCGAATATGTTTTACGAGTTGAGTTTATTGAGCCTCACCTGAGGCGAGAACAGGGTCAAGCAGCAACACGTGGCGACTTGCAATATCTGATGGTAACTTTTCGTAGATCAACTGCAGCAATTTTTTTTTTTTTTTTTTTTTTTTTTTTGGAGTGTTTTTACGAAATGTAGAAAAGAGGTTCGGTTTTCAAAACTTAGAATGATGAGTTGCTGACTGCACAAACCTGACGACCATTATTGCCTTCACCGTGGATTAAGATTTTGCCTATTTTGATACCTTTGCAACATGCTCTCAGCGCATTTTCCATGCTTTCTCCACTGGTTCGAGCACAAAAAGGTTCACATATATTAGCAAGTGAATAGACAATGGACACGTTGTTAATCACGTAAAAACTCTTATAACAATATGAATTTAGAGTGATTCATTTCTCAAGTTCCAATTGGCCTTTCATGCCTTTTAAACCGCTATAAAATATGGATTTCATAGGTTTTTGTTATTTGTGGATGTTTTCCACCAGCTGAAATAGGTTACCTTCTAATGATCGACACGCCACACAGTCTTTTGCAGAAAACGACTCCACAGTATATGGATCCTGCGTAGATGAAGGGTTGAGTGAAGTAATTATAGCAAAACGCTTTTAAGTGTTAATGATTAACATATTTTCACAATCGGTTTTGCTAAAAACAAGGTACAGGAAGGAAAAGTTCAGTATTTCTGAAGATAGAAGTATAATATTTTCTCTATGCTTGGTGCATTTTTCTTGCGAAATCAGAGCAAAATAATTTAACCAATAGTCAATTAATATTACCTGTGGGAGTAATAATCTGTTTTTCAGTGAATGGAAGGTGACCCAAACCATGTTCAACGACCTGGAATGCATTGATTGAGATCCATGCACTAATGATAGTAGTTAACAAATAAGAAAAATATCCCAATAAATTGTTTTAAAGATATGATATACCAAGCGAATGAGCCGGTCTGCATAGAAAACAAAATCATGTTTGGTTGTCTTGGCATCCCTAACAAGCGTGTGCATTCCTCGTATCTGA